TGACCAGTTGGTATGTCCCACGTTCCCGTGAACTTATTCCAGACGCCTTGAGGATTCGCGAAATGCGCTAGATCCAGCTCTTCTGCTGATGTACCAGCAGCCACATCTATTGCACCTGTTGTTCCCCTGTGGTCTCTTGTCTTGCCGGAACTTGGGTACGCGCTGTCTCCAGCGAATCCAAGCGCTCGTTCATACGGTCTATTGAAGTCGCCATTTTCTGCATCATAGTTGCTAGTGTGGACACCATCACGGAGGACTCTGTGTCGTCGGATTCATCGGCGTCTTCGTCCGCCTTGTCCGCTTCGTCCGCTTCTCCGTCCAGTCTCGGTTCTTCCAGGTTCTGGGGTGGGTTATTTTCGTCCTCAGCCACTACCGAGTCCTGGTCATCGTCGTTTCCTTTTGTCTCTCCGTCAGCCTCGTCCACAAGTAAACGTACTTGGCGCGTATCTCCTGCGCTCACCACAATCGTAGCAGTCACACCGCTTGGACTCGTTGGATTCTGCGATTGCGTCTGCGATCGCGTGGCCACCCCTGTTGTAAGGCTCGAGGCAGGTACCAGCTTCGTTCGCTCCATCTCGCTGCTAGACGTGTTGCTTCGGTTACTTTGTGAACTCTGTGCGGAATCTTCGGTTACCGCGTCTTGAACTTGTAGAGGCTCTTCTTGTTGAATAAGCCTGACCAGCATATAACGTGTTTGAGCCCACACGCTGAGGCTTTGGTCGACCAGTACTGATAGGTCCAAGAATCCGATGGCTCCAGCACTAGAACTTCTAGTACTGCGCCGGTAAGCACCACTTCTGGCACTGTACCTATTTGTATTTCCGTACGTAGTCGACTATCTAGCTAACCACTAGTCAATATACACACACTTCCGTCCACGTACGACTTCGTCGGCCGCTCTCCTGCGCTCACTTTGCCATTTCTAAGTGAATCACACACTCCACACGCTTACTCACTAGCGGGAGCCTTACTGAACTATCACGTTAGTTTCAACATGGCACTATTAAGACGTAGAAACGTTAGAATTTTGCATGAATGTTCAACGGTACGCAAGTTCGTACTCAGTATTTACTCAGAATACTGGAGCGTTGTTAGAAACGTTCAATGCAACAAAAGTAGTTTCAACCAAATGTATAGCTTTATCTTTGTAATAAATTAGTTGTGTGTGTGCGTAGTCACGCTGAGGCGGATTTTTGATTAGCCTGAAAATATGTTTAAATCAGTAGAGTTGGATGCCGCGGGCAAAAATGGCGCAGTGTGCGCATCACACATTCCATAGATATCTACTATAATATTCAATCGTAAAATGCAGAGGTCTAAACAGGCGCTGAAAAGGTATTAAAATGGTCTTAATTAGAACAGACCGTCTTAAAATTAATAGGTTTTCGCGAGTGCAGGTATGAACCCCTTGAACGCGGAGGGTGGGAAAATGGGTTTACACCGTCCGGGACGGCATAACAATATCTTTATTTCACTGTATTTCAAAATCCGCAAATGTGGATTGCAACATCACCACACTAGTCGGTCCACTTTAATTGGTCCATGTGTTAAAATACAGGCTTCTAATTGAATAATAAAACAGGTGGGATTGGTACATCGGATCAGCATTGACTGATTTTTTCCAAAACTGAAATGTCGGTTCCCCTTTGCTGTTTTGTCGATACGCCAGTCAGTTTTGGTTTTTGTCGAGCAAGATGCCAGTCGTGGAGTACGTTATGGATTTCGCGGTAATTTGGCCATTACTACGCAAAGAAGGATGGACGTGGAAGGCAGCCACAGGAATTCAAATTCAGTAAGTTCATTTTCATCACCAGCAAGCTGTGCAAACTAACATAACATGTAATGGCTACGGAATTAGCCATAACTACGTCAAACGAGGACAAGAGGTGAAAGTAGGAAAACAAGGTGTCGAATACTTCGATGGTGAAGGTGAGTTGCTAGCCTACGTGCGATCCGATAAGGACCTGTGCACCAGACTGCGCATTGCCAATATTATGGTCCGTCCTAACTACCAAGCAAATACGTAATTATTCAATTATGCTGTTCTATCACAAGTTGCGTTATGCAACACGTTAGTTTGAAGCACAGTGACGTCGTTGAAGCTTATCCCTTCAAATCAAGCTGGTCTTCAGAACTCTGGCAATCCTCGCCTCGCCAAGCGAGCGAAGAAGGCTGCCAAGCCTTCATCCAATACAACGAAGAAACCAACGAAGAAACAAATTGCAGAAGTGGCAAAGAGACGGTCCCGTGAGTTGGCCGCCTTTGACAAGGTATGGGGAGGTGAAAACAGCACAGGTGAGATGTTTATTCCTTGCTTTATACTGATCTACACTAATTGTATGTATGTCACTATGGAAAGCTGCCGATGAAAAAGTTGTCGAACCACCTACAACGGATCCTCCGGAGAATGGACAATCTTTGATTTCTCAGGACAACACGGAAGGTATAAAGTGTTGATGTTATGCTGTACATGATTCCCTATATTCACAATGCTGACATGTTAGGTTTATATTTTCTGTATTTAAGCTGACAGGAACGGCAACCAAACCGCTAATGCTGACACGGATGTCATATCACCCTGCCGTAATGCTGACCAGAACGTCCCACCTACATCCAATGCTGACAAGGACACCGTACCATCCTGCGGTAATGCTGACAAAGTCACCCCATCCGGAGCCAAATCTCCCAGTGGTAATGCTGGCACGGACTCCATTTCTAGGACAGAGGAGGAGGGGTCGCTTGTCAAAGGACAGGCTGACCGGGACGTATACAGTGGGAATGGAGATGCGCTAGAATCTGAAGGCGCAGCCTACGACCCGGATGACGGCCAATCCGTGGATCTTGCCCACGAATCAGCTGACGAAGAGACAAAAATATGACGTGCGTATCGACAGCCACGCCCGCCTGCCCCAGGACAAGGCGAGGCTTTCTTCTTTTGCTTTCGAATACACGGACGTGCTAGATCCAAATCTAATCTCGCCAAGTGGAGACGACGCGGTGCTAGATAAACTATACCGTTCATTCGAGTTGCCACAATCTATTATTGCAGGACGCGCGAAAGTTTTGGGAAGACTACTTCCTTGTGGTTCGTCACACAACGACAGTGAAATTTACCCTACCGTGAAAATACGCTATGACCAGTACAGGCAACGACAGTGAATCTACCCTACCTTGAAATACCTCATCGGGGCGAACTTCACCGTCGATGTCTGTACTTCACGGTCTAATCTGTGACGTATGAGCATCTGGGTGTAGCCGTGATGGAGCCTCCATGCGATAACTAGATCCTGGCTGTCGAGCTGTCATGCTTTGGTACTCAAATTACTACAACCTGAGACTCCGCTTCCTCAAAACAAGCTGTGAGTGCAGATGGGTCTCCGACTAGTGCAATTAAACCGACAGAGATGCTGTCCAAAACGTAACTACACCGTGACCCGCGTACGGACTAGGTGACTTCCAGTGTTGGTTCTCTGCGACCCGAGAGTGTCGCAGAGAATACGCTGGTGCTTCTGTGAGTATCATGAGTCTTGATCTAGCGCGTAAACTCAAGATCAAGCTCCGGACACACTGCCAAATTAAGGTTTCCGGTTTAAGAGGAGTGACTACTCACATCACTACTCATGCCCGAGTGAAAATACCGCTTGGATGGAGTGAGGTGTACGTCCTGAATATCTGGGTTGGAAATATTGGAAAAGGTGTTGAGGTCTTGCTAGACATGAATTGCATGCATTCGACAGGCGATAGGCTCTGTATACGAGAAGGTTTAGTCAAGCTGCCAGATGAAGAGACTGTGGTTATGTATGATGATTATCCCAAGTCTCGAGGTATGGACCTCCCTGTGTACCCGGAGGAAAGCATACACCTAAGTCTCGGACAGGACGCTATTGTACGAATCCGGAATGGCCAGACCAACCCCCAGCGCAAGTTGGTGTGGGCCGGGAGAGGCAAGAACTGGGTGACTAAAATCCTGTTTTCTGCTAGATCCTGGGCGACTGCGGTGAAGGTGGTCAATGTCTAGACCAAAATGGCTGTATTGATACGAGGACCACTGTGGCTCGTATCGTAGAGTATGGACAGTTCCTAGGGCAACCTGGATTCGTTTGTCCTGGGAAGGCGCGATATGAAGAATGGCAACAGTTCATTCATGAGTACACTGTTTCACGTCAGGCGAAGATGCGTGCAGAACGGTTCGAGCAGATTCTCAGGGAAAGAGAACCTCCGTGCACTCGGACTCAGAGATATCAATGGCCGACCAAACACTTAATGCGTCCACAGCTTCAAGAAGCCGAAGTGCGGATGGTGAAATTGCAGGAAAGACCGAACCTCTGGAGATGACACTCAAGGTCGCTGGAAATGGAGCAGTTGCCATGATGGCAGTCGTGGGAAACTTCGAGGGACCTGAGATCAACCTGGAAGAAGCAGGGAGATTGAATTCAGACCGGAGCCCAGAACCCAAGGACCCGGATCCGGAGAATGCTGCTGACGCAGAGGATAGTGTTCCGGCTAAATATGAGCCGGTGGATGCTCAGCCACAAACGAGTTGTTCGCCACCGATCCAAAGACTGGAAGCGGAATATAATCGAGTGATGCAAGTCTCTGCCGAAGAACTAAATCTGGAACGTGCTGTTTATATTTGAGAAGGAAGTGACTTGATGGCGCAGCTACGAGAACAACTTATCATACTCCCAGCGATTGAGGAACTGACCCCAGAATATAACGTCGACGAAGCAAATGTCTGGGTCTCTGAGGTCACAACTCCAGAGATGGAAGTCAAGATGATAATGATCCTGAAACGACATAGCAGCAGCTTCTTGGGAGATGGCAACGCAGCTCCGGCTCCGATCAGGGGCGTGGTGTGGGCCATCGATGTCAGTGAAACAAAAAAGTAGCTTTGCGTGCAAGGCAGATTGCTGCTCCGTTCTTGGTGAAGGTATTTGAACTCTTAAAGAAGTTGCTAAATTGAGCATTCAGAGTCCGAGTCGTCATCACCCATTCTGATCATGCTGAAGAGAAACGGTGTAGACATCAGAATGTGTAACGACTACCGACTTTTGAATTTGCTCAGCAAACTATCCTGCTATTCCCTCCCGCTAATTGATGATTTGCTAGTGGACTTTGAATCTGCAATGTGGTTTAAGCGTCTCGACATGGCAAGTGGGTTCTGGGCGGTGCGTATGACTGAACGTGTGAAACTGCTCTGCGTTCGTTTGCCCGTTCGGTCACTTATAATGGCTGTGAATGCATTTCGGCTGAAGAATGTGCCATTGATATAGCAGTGTCATCAATAACTGTCTTTGGGGATTCGTACGCTTGCCTCCTGAAGACGAAGCAAAGGTTGACCCAGAGGTCCTAAAGTTTTTGAATCTTAAGTCTCAGGAATCTCTGGACATGAAAGGGAAAAGGGAGGAACTCAGAGATTCAGTGGAAAACTTAGAGGTTCCACCATTAGAATTGACTGTATTCAGATGCAATATTCCGGCTCCGTCACAAATGGGTCCGGTCTTGGGGAGAAGCTCATATCCTGACGATATCGCTCATGGGGCGTCGACCTGGTACCAACTATGTGAAGACCTGGGTGCGTTGCTATACAGACTGCGATATTGGAATACTTCTGTAAGTCTACCAAAAAGCGAATTTGGAAAGTCGACTATCCCCTTCCTTTCTCATGAAGTAAGTTCGGACGGTTTGCCAATAGTTGCCGCCGTGCTCTACGAACTCGATGAAGAACGCGTGCGTGCTGGACGGAATGTGGAAGCTGCGAAGAAATCCTTCGAGATTCTGAAACGGACGATTGTATCGACACTGCTGTTACGGCATCCAGACAGGACCAAGCCGTTTGTGACTATTCCTCATGCGAATACCTGGTCCGCTTGCGCAGTCTTGGGACAGGAACACGATGGTCTCGTACACCCAGTGCGTTTCACGGGCAGAGTACTGAAGAAATCGAAGTTAAGCTACCATATAACCGAGAAGGAGGTGCTCGCAATCCTGCGGACTCTTGGAAGTGTTCAGACCCCTGATCTATTGTACAGAATTCCCGGTGATAGTGTATACCCGGTATTCCGTATTGAAGTGGTTGCTAGGGTCCTGCGTCGCGGATGGGCGACATCCAAAATGGGGTTTAGAATTGTAGAAGTGGACTCTGGAAATCCATCGAATCCGGAAAGATGTGGGCGGCCTTGCAGCTATCCTCGGATCTGGAATCACTCCAAGAGAACATTCAGCTGAAGTTGCAGAAACCTTGATTCCCGCAGAGGGGCGTCTACAAGGGATGCCCCCAGGGAGTCTGGAAATACTGGATGCAGATTATCAAGGCTACATTCTGAGCGTTGACGGTACTGCAAAAGTTTCTACTCGCCAAGGAAGTTGTGAATGTATCCAGTGGAAGTTGCCAGGATGGCAGGTTGTGAAAGCTGAATGACACATCTTAGAAGGGATGACGGTCAACGATGCTGAGTACCATGGTCTAATCCGAGGTTTAAAGCTCGCTTTGATGTTTGATTCCAAGGAAATCGCGGCAGTCGGGGATTCCAGAATCGTTGTTTAACAAGCTCAGGGACTGATTAATTGTAATCATCCTAATTTGCAACGAACCTTAGATGAATATGAGGATATCTCAGGAAAAAAATTGTGACTGTAACGTTGATCCACGTCAAGCGTGAATTCAATCAGGCGGCCGATTATCTAACGTCCAAGACCTTCGTACTCGAGGAATCCTGGGAGCTCATGACCCAGACGAGATAGTACACCTATGCCTTGTATCTAGAATCCCTGAAAAGATCATGAAGCCTTTTGAAATGTCAGATAGTTCTGTGGCCGATGAAGTTCGTAGAGACCAGGTTGAACCTGGAGTAAGAAACTCCAAAGTCGGAATTCCACCGGTTACCGGTCCGTCGCCCGGCAATATCGGACCAAGGTATCCGTTTGAAGTGGTCTCTAAGGATTTTGTCACTGAGCTACCCGAGTCCGTTCGTGGAAATACATACTTGTTGCTGTTCCAGGATCAATTCTCAGAATACGTCAGTGTAAGCCCATGCGGAACACTGAAGCACAAGATGTCGCTGAAGCATACGAGGAATATGTATTAAGAAGATTTGGGGCAAGTTCCATGATCAGACATGACCAGGACCTCGTTTCATGAGCACGGTGTTCGCAAGATTCAGAGACCTTCTGAAACGTAACGTACAACGTTAGGATACCGGCCTCAGACCAACGGACAACAAGAACGCTCTGTCCAAAACGTGATGCGAAGTGTCAGAGCGTATGTCGCCGAAGTTGACCAGAGCGACTGGGACGAACATGTAGAACATCTCATGTGTGCCCTGAATACCTCGTTCGATGCTGCAAGATTGGACGCTCCGTCTTATCATGACTGGGATGCTCAAGAAACCATATCCGCAATGTTGAGCCCGAAACCATCCACAGTCCAAGAACGAACAGCCTTGGAATGGCGTCGTAAGATGCAACGGGATTATAGCTATGCACTTGCATGCGCTGAAGACTTGCAAAAGAAAGCGAATTGCGTGAGATCTGCTGCCCTAGACGCCCAAGTGGAAGGAACTCTCGGACCGTGTAAGGGCTGGTTTCGAAGCCAGTGACTCTGTCTGGTTGTACATTCCCAAATTCCGTACAGGATTGAGCCGCAAATAGCTCACCTATGGCACGGACCTTTCCGAATCCATGAGTTAAACTCAAGATCTCAGGTACGGGCTACAGTGTAACCCGTGGGTCTACATTAGTCGCCTCAAACCCAGGGCCTTGTTCCCTTAGCGACCAATCTAAGAGATAAATGTCTCAGAAGAAGACGATTTAGATGCCGCCCTGCTACACGAGGATAACTGGAAACCGGACTCTGCATAGGATGATATGATGTCGAAGCGATCCTGGAGCTCATGTGGATCAAACGTTCAAGGATTTCCACGCGTTCTCGTAAATATCTCAGTAAATCGAAGGGATACACGGATCCAGAATGGATACCTCTAACTCAACTTAATTGTGGGGTACTGTTATACGAATTCGACCAAGGCGCTAAGGCAAGAGCACGTTTCCAGGCAATGAAACCGGCGACGATCACCCTGGGAACTAGTTCCAAAGATGGCCTGACCAATGGACTCGTTTGCGTGAACAGGATGATATTGATTTTGAAAACTGGTGTGTATTACCTGGTGATGTAGCTAGGAGAGTGAACTCGAGAAGATCCCTCTGGGTCTGTTAAGTCCATGCAAACAATATCTGGATCCGGTGATGATCCTAGCCAACATCCAACGCAATCTCGTGTGAAGAAGAAGATTACTACTGCGTTGATTACTCGTGTGTGGCGAAGAAGTCGAAACACAGGAGTGAGAGTGCAGAATTATAGGTGTTTGTGGCGATGTGGATTACAATTTTGAGAGATGGAGAGACGAGGAAGTGAAATAATGTGTTGATTGGTCAAGATGAATGAGTTCAGAGCTGGCACCAGCGTGAGACATGGGGAGAGGCAGTTCTAGATGAAGGAAGAGCTGCTCAAGGAAGGGACCATAGGTTCGGAACTGGTTATCCAGGACAAATTGTCGTCCAGGATAGATGGCCACCCAGGATAAATCTCCATCCAGGGTGAATGGACATCCAGGATTGAGAACCATCCAGGATGAAATGAACCACTCGGTCCGAGCCGCCGATACCCTGACGATAGGTACCCCAGGAAGATAGAAGAGCGCCCTGAAGAATGTATCACCTGTCCTGACTTGAGCCGCCCTGGTATAACAGCAACCAACTTCGACTACGAATGTGTCAACAAGTATCCCAGAGATGTCGCGTAGTGATATGCGACGAATGATCACCATGATTAACCACGATGATCAAGGACATTCAGGATTGACGAGAGTCCGCCCTGGACGACCAAGTGCAACGTGGTTGAGTGTCGAGTGTGGAGTGTTTTATAAGGATCTTAATGTGCTAGCCATCCAGGATGAAGCCGCCCTGGATGGAAACACCCAGGATCAAGGTCCACACAGATCAGTTTGACACGACGCACAGACATCGACCGACACGCAAGGTCTGCGGGAACCATGAACATGTGATACCCGTAAGTTAACTTCCCATACTGAAGTCAAGAAGTCAAGATATGCAAGCACACCGTCATCATTGATGAGTGTATGAAGGGAATCAAGAAGAAGACCCACAGAAGACCATAAGACGTAAAGATTTAAATAGAGTTCAATTTGCCGTGGAAGAGTTAAGTGAGGATAAGCTGCCTTACTGAATGCGCTGAGGAGCCCGAGCTGAGGACCACTAAGGCCGCATCAACACACGAGTACGTTGTGTGGACTCTCAACAAGTTTCAAGTTCCAGTTAGCAGGGACCAAGACCGATCGTGTGGCTTGGATTGATCCTGACTATTCCATATTCCAGTTGCAGGGTATTCGCGTGAGTAAGTACCTGCATTTCATATTAACGACCGCGATTCAGGAGGTTTGCTAGTGATCACCCCTGGATTTTGTATTGAG